CCACCCCCCCAAAGACAAAAAGAACTCCAAATCAACAGAAGCAGAGGCAAAAAAAAAAAGGGATGCAACAAAAATGTAGTAGGAGCGGACAACAATGAGACGCCAAAACGTGTCTATAATACTATATTGAGAAGAAAAACCAAATTTACCGAGACGACCTTTTATCGACAGTTAAAAGTATGGCATCGCAGGGACTGTTATTTTCTTTTAATACAAGGTACCTATCTTTACGTTTGTACTCGAGATTTTGAAAAAAAAAAAGATTGAGTGCCCAGATGTGTGAAACGACGCCACATTATTATTTGTGAGGCAGCGTGGTGGAATCAGGCTCTCGTCAATTTTTGGGCATGTAGAGTTATTGGTATAATCTCAAGGGTAGTTCACTTGTGTTTATTCGGACGAAAAAAATATCCTTTTATCTTGAATGCAAGTCGAGATATTTGCGAAATAAAGAGGTGGGGGTCACCTGTTTTCAGAGGTAGAATTAGTGAGAAAAAGATTAGTTATTTCCTTAGCTTAAGAGTCCGTGGAAACTGAAAATTTATATTTTTTGTGCCTTTAATCAACGTTTTTCAGAAAAAAAATTCACAAACCTTCGAAAAAATGCAAGTTTCTTCACTTTGATTATTTTGACGAGAGCCTGATTCCACCACGCTGCCTCCCATTTTATTGCAAGGGCAAACAATGGAACTGGATTGCCTGAAGACCAGCGGCACTATGCTCACGTACATTTTATCATAGTGCATGTTCTGTAAAAATCAAAATCATTGCTTACCCCAGGTTTCATTCAGACAACCAAGAATATTAGAACGATTTTTCATCACAATAGTTATTTGCTTCAGTCAGAAATACATATTACAAACTGTCTGGTGCACTTCTTAAACAAGAGTTCTAAATGCTTGGTTTTAATCTAACATTTTGTCTGTAAATGGAAATATGGACACAAAGATCAGTGTTTTCAGGAGCAGAATAATGTTTAGACTTCAGTCCAATCTCTGTGTAAAAGAGAGCACCACCAGAACGTAATCCATCCACAATTAGAAGAAGACTTACCAGTGGATAACATCCGCAAATAGATTTATTAGTAATAGTCTACGAAACGATGCTCTTGCAAAAGAAAAAGGGGAGAAAGAAGCCACTCGTGTTATTTATGCGTGCCACACCGTGTACGAAAAATCCGCGGTACAACAGATTTCACAAAAACAAATCCCACTTAGTTTACTCGCCTGAACCACAAACTCTGTGTCGTAACACTCACGTCCTGTTGACAAACCTATTCTCTCTCTCCACTCTCAGACACAGTACAGGGTGTCCCGTCCGTGTGCTGCGCACCAGTTCGGACGAAATCCGCTAGCCTATGGGCTGAGCGTGTTGGTTCTTGTGCTGTCACTTTGGGCCCCAGTGCCAAGGCGCGTTCTGACGACACATGATCGCGTCTGCAGGACTGGCACCTTTGGCGCGCACCGCTCCTCCACCAGCCGCCAGGCAGTTCCTGGCAAACGAACGGTCCCCTAATCGAATCCTCTTACGTGAAGAGCCCACAAGTCGTCGATATTTTCATCACACATGTATTGCGGTGTTTCGCGCTGTGACCACTTTTCTATAAACGCTTCGTGATGGCCCAGCTTGTTGATCACCGGTGGCTACTTCATTCTTTTATCGGGCTCAGGAATCGATTCTCGAGTCGATCGCGGTTCCTGGATGGTATACCTGAGACGCCGTGAGGAAAATCAATGAGTGGAACAGCTTAACGGGGTGGTCACGGTACAGAGGACAGCGGGTGGGGGTGGGGT